CCAAGTATCAACATACTATTACACAGAAGCCATTTATAGAGATTCTTATTGGAAGCTTTGTTTTACTTTATTTTCTGATAAAAAGATTAAAACTTTAAAGAAGCTTAAAAATCAATTTCAATAAAAATGTCCCCTCTGTTTTATATAGATTGCAAGATTCATATTTCACAGCACTTCATTTAGAAAACTTTTAAGGTTTTAAGAACTAAAAAACAAAACATTCTTTCCTATATTCACACAATACCCATTATGTTCTATTGTATCAACTGAAGTTCTACAGTATGGGCCAACTTTTTAAAAAGTTGCAGGAACTCACATTTAAGACACAAACACATTTTGAGATTATGCACAGGAAGTTTTAAGTCCACATGGCACATTCAGTGGCAGATTCTACCTACTGTCCAAATGATGTACTTAAAGAAATAAGAATAATTTCAACATAAGCATATGCTTACTATAAATTACAAAGCAAATTAATTTTATAGAACTACATGATTCATTCTCAGGCTAAATAAAAGCATCTTGAATTATCCACAGCACTGTTTTTCTAAGCAAACCAGTCCCCTACCCTATAGAAACAAAATTCCAAATTATAAAAATTATAGTTTTTCCCTATCCTTTGAGAAAATCTTAAAATCTAAAATGAAATTTCAAGATATTAACAAAACAAAAACACCCAAGATATCAAAGAATACTGACATGCAATGGTAGGTCCTTGGTCCCATATAAATGAGTCTAACTGCATTATGATTTCATAGTTAATTTAAAAGACTGGAAAAAAAAACCATTAAAACTCTGAGACCTGGAAAGCCAAGTGTGATGATGCAAACCTGCAGTCCCAGCTACTCTGGAGACTGAGGTGGGAGAATCACTTGAACCCAGGAGTTCAAGGCTGCTGTGAACTATGAGTGTGCTATTGTATTCCAGCCTGAATGACAGAGTAAGACCCCATCTTAAAAATAAATAAACAAACAAATAACTCCTCTAAGATCTAGGTATTAATAGGAATACTTTCAAAGTACTTAATTTTAATCCACTTCAAAGAATATAACAGTAAGAATTTTAGTCTAATGTCTTAAAGTCAAAAGAGAAAAACAATATACATTAAATATCTACCATGTGTGAAATGTTGATAATTACACACACAGTCTCACTCAACTGCCATAGCAATTCCATAAAATTACTAGTGCTGCGCCCATTTTAGATATGGAGAAACCGAGTTAAAGGGATGTTATCTGAGCTAAAGCATGCCATCTGGTGGTTAATTCAGTTAAGTGACTTACCCAAGATGGTAGTCAGGACTACACGTAAGTGACTATTAGTCTAGAACTGTTTTCACAACGCAGTTGCTTCTGGAAGTTTCCAAAATCATCCCATTCAGCATTTCCCAAACTGAGTTCCGTGAAACTCTGGTGTCACTAAAATGTTAATAAATATTCTGAAAAATAAGCACTCTGTAGTTCAAACTTGGGACAAGTAACTTTACATCAGAATTTTCCAGAATTTTAATATGCACATTATTACTTTCCAGAAAGGCAATAAGATGGGAAGTATTTTAATTTATTAAACCATAAAACCCTTTGTTTATAGAAAACCTAATAATATACCATGGGATGCTTGCGTTCAACTAAGCACAGTTTGGAAAATGATTATCTAGTTAAATCTCCTCACTCGATAGTTTAATAAAATGAGGTGCAGAGAGGTGAAGTGACACAAGCCCACACAGCAAGTTACTAACAGCCCAGGGTTGGCATTACTCCCACCAGGTTGCTCTTTCCTCTAATCATTCTGCCTCACTTTAGTATTATTTCCACAAAGTTCAATACCATTTTTAAAAAGTATTACCTCGATCATTTATTCTGATTCTTGTGAATGGCAGTAAAGAGAAAACGTTTATCTTTATTTGGGTGTTCTACCTCCCAATGCACTACTCTGTCAGAGACTTGGGATATATTTGGAAATGTGGAAAATGATTCCACTTTAAAAACACGGATAACAATTCTCTGTCGAGTAGAGCTCTACTCGTGTTTTTCTTTGATGTGAGACAGAATTACACCTTAGTATTGCTTATAGATACCATCTAACTTAAACAGATGCAATTTGTGACCAACTTTATACAGAACAATTTGTTCATTGTTTTCCCCTTACCCTACGCCTCCCGAATTGACTTCTTTTCACTTTGTCCTACCCTTTCAGCAAGTAGTAAACAGTTCTGGGCTAACGATGCCATCTGGTGGTTAGTTCAGAAATTGTTTAACCAATGTACCTTCCAATCAGGCTCTTACTATTTGTACCTCTCTTCACAACCACACTCTTTCTTCCAATTCTTGCCCATTTACCTCAGCAAAACCTTCTTTTCTACCCTGTTTATCCAACTGAATGGAAAAATATATACGTTTTATTTATAGCACTCTAGTTATATGCAAATCATGAGCTTGAAGTGCACTTGCAGCTAAAGAAACAAACCAATGAGAAGCCAGTATTACCTCAAAAATGCCTTCCAATAGCCACCCTGTCCCAGTAGAATGTTATTCATCCAGTGCCTTCAAGGAATACCAGAGTTGTAAAGGACCTTGAGGATCAGTTCAAGGTCAACTGCTTCATTTTACAGCTGAAGAAACTGACCCCATGAGAAAGAAATAATCACCTGCCCAACAGAGCCTAGGCCACTTTATTCCAAGTCCAGCGCTTGGTCAACTACACTATGCGCTCCAGGCTCCTCAAACTGTTTTTGCTCAACCAAACATTCAAGTAAAAGATTTTTCAGTGTTTTCTATGTTTTCCTTCATTATTAATCTCTTCAGGGTAGGGCCCATAACTAAAACTTCTCTGCACCATTCCTTAACAGTATCTAACATACTTCATATTTATTGATGCATATTTATTGAGTGTCCACTATTAACTGCTCTACTTATTGCAAATCTATGATACTTACACTGTATTATGCGGTAGACTAGCTTTGATCTGCTTAAAAAGCTAACTTACATTTTATAACTTTGTTTCTATGACTATTCTTCCTGGTAATCATCAAATGGTAACTTTTTGGAACACAATACATTCAGAAAATTGAGACTTCCCATTAGTTGTTCCTGTTCACCTGATCAATCTTAACAAGGATAATAAAAAAAAAACAAAAAAAAACTATGCAGCTTACAGCAGGGGTCCCCAACAACCCCCCCCACACACACACACACACAAAACTGAGTTAGGAACTGGGCTCACGGCAGGAGGTGAGATGTGGTAGACAAAGTCTGTAAAACTCATCGGTATTTACAGCTGTTTCCCATTTGCTCACATTACCCCCTGAGCTCCACTTCTTGTCAGATCAGCAGGGGTATTCGATTCTTTTAGGAGCACGAACCCTATTGTGAACTGCCATGCTAGGGATCTAGGTTATGGCTTTTTATGAGAATCTAATGCCTGATAATCTGAGGTGGGACTGAGGTGGTGATTAGTAATGAGGTTTGATTGCACAGAGACCACAATAAATCAATTGTTTGCAGACTCTATTAAAGCCTCTATCAGTGAGTGGCAAGTGAGTTGATGTACTTCAACTTATAGCTGCATCTGGTGGCAAGCTTTAAGTCAGAATCCAGCACATACTTTAGTCCATGCGTGGTCCACTCATTATTTTATTTACCACTTCCATCCATCTGCGCCTCTTTCTTTATGGTGAGCTGCATAATTATTTTATTATATTATATATTACCAATGCAATAATAATAGAAATAAAGTGCACGCTTGAATCATTCCCCAACCTCCCCCCCCCCGGGGAAAGATTGTCTTTCACTAAAACAGTCCCTGATGCCAAAAAGATTGGGGGCCACTAGAATAGAGGGGAAAAAGCAACTATTTTAGAAGAAAATAAGAATTTTAGTACCTGATGCATTATAATCACTAGACTTAAGGCAAGTTCTGTCTTCTTTTCCACTAAATAATCCTCAACCATAAGATCACATAAAATAACTGTAAATATTTTATAAACTACAAATATCAATAATTACGATAGATATTATTAATAGTAATATATTCCAGGTCCTGTGACAAATCACTTTACACATGCACAATGTCACGTAATTCTTGTCCTATTTTACAGATGAGAAATACCAAGGCTTAGCAAGTGAAGAAACTCGCCCGGGGTCACAGAGCTAAGAGATGGAAAAATCCAAGAGTCGACCTTAGACCCGAAAGCCTCCAGAGCCGGTCCTCCGAAGAGGTGCGCGATAACGTAAGGCCAAGCCTACAGATACGACCACTCCCTCAAGTCTCTGAGGTCACTGGTCATTATTTTCAGGTACAGTTGGCGTACACGGGGAAATACCGGGCTACAAGTCGCTTCGCCCTCGGCTTTTCCAATTGATGGGGGGGTAGGGAGATGTGGGCTGGGGTGGCGTGGGGGGGGCGGTAGGGGCTACCCTAGAACCAACGAGGCTCTTTGGGTGCGGGTCGCATTCAGGGTGCAAACCTGTGAGTACACATTCGTGTTTCTGGGAAAGAACCTTCATGAGCGGCCCTTAAAAACAGAGGACCCGCCGGACTAGGCGTCTCCGGAGTTCCGCCTGCCCCGCCAATGGCAGGTCGCTCTCTCAAGGAGGAGCTTTCTGACGCCACCAGGAAAGCGGCGGGTGGGAGCCTCCTATTCATAACCAAGATGCGTGAACCGAGAACCGCGTCCGGGCAGCCTCAACGGCTGCGGCCGGGCAGGCTGGCCGCGAGCTCCGCCCACGACTCGGGGAGGGAGGCTGGCAGGGCGCCGTGTCGCCGTGTGGCCAAGGCTGCCCTCCGCGTCTGGATCCGTCGCCCCCTCGCTGCCAGCTCCCGTGGCTCGGCGCAGACCTCGGCGTCAGGGATGTGGGTGGGACGGCGCGGGGGCGCCGAGAGAGCGCCGGAGGGAGGGAAGGAAGGAGGGGCCGCGCGGGGCGGCGCAATGTCCCCTCCAACCCGTCCCTCTCCCGGGGGTCTCCGGCGCGCCGCGCGGCGCTCCTCGGCGGGCTACTTACTGAAGAAGAGGCGGTAATTCTGCGAGTAGGGCTGGCCGCGCTCCTCCGTGCGGTACAGGGCCATGGCGCGGCGCGGCCCAGCCCCTGCACCCGCTCCCCGCTGCAGGAAGGTGGCGGCGGGGGCAACGGCGCGCCCACCCCGGCCCGAGCGCAGCAGCAGCAACAGCAGCGCGCGCATGGCGGCGGCGACCGTCCGGCTCTGAGCGGGGCGGCGCTGGGGGACCCAACCCGGCCGCGCGCCGGCGCCCTCTACCGCCCGGAGCCGTCACTTCTGTCCCGGGGCTGAGGCTGCCATCCCAGGTCAAGGTTCAAAGAGGAACAAGATAAGGGCCTCCATACCTGAGGAGTAGCTCACTGCCACTCCTACGTGATTCCATCCCTTTATTTATCTTGTCAGTGTTTATTATGTTTTTATGATAGTAACGTAATATTGAGTGATTGCTCTGTGCCATGGACTGCTCTAGACCTTGTCCAATGTAGCTGAGCTACACTCACAGACATCATGTAAGACAAAAAAAATCACCAGCATGTGTACGCCCAGCATGTACACACACACACACACGACACCCAGCATGTGAGTGCATGCACACACACACATGCACACACAGCTCCCAGCACACAGTGCACACACACTCCCTGGCACACATAGGACCCTGCGTGCACACAGTGCCCAGTACACATGGCACCTGTGACACACATGGCAGCTGACACACAGTGTCCTGCAGGAAGGTCCATGGGCCAGGTCGTGCCCAGCCACCAAACACGGCACTAGGAGCAGAAGGATGAACCAAGGCAGGAAGAACACTGTTCCTGTAAAATTGCGACCTTGACAATGGGTTTATAAAGCAAAATCCTGCTTTCTCAAATGCCATCTCCTTCATGAAGTCCTTTCCTAAACCAAGAGGAGGTGATTTATCCTTTCTTCTTCTTACATTTTCACTTCTATAATGGCATTTAATACTATGTCTGTATATTTGTGGACTGATTATGTTCCCTTTTTCACCTTGACCTGCTCACTAGGTTGTAAGTCGGCCAAGCTCTGAAGACTTGAGACTTAATTATCCATAACTGCAGGATGTAGCACCACACTTGACATACAGTGGCTCCTTTGTGGTTGAGTTAAATTGCTCCTGAAATTTCCCTCTCTGCCAAATCTTTCTCAGCGGTTTAGGAAATTCTGTTTATTGAGCTTTGAAGAAAAACCTGTTGAAAGAAGAGTTGTCCACAGTCACAGTCACTGTCTTCACTTCATATTCTTCCCTCATCCCAATCCAAAAGATTTCCTCCACCCTCCCATAGTCATCAGTGACCTCCTTGTTGTCAAAAACAAAGGTCAATTCTAACAATAAGGAGTGAGAGGCTCCAGAAGAGAGCAGTAAATAATATTTTTTAAATTAGGAACTAAAACTTAAGAAAATTAAATATTTTAGTTTCTCAGTATATAAAAGTGAAAGCAAGAAGATTAACATTTTACAGAAAGGGGCAAAAAAGAGGCACTATGATCTTTGCAAAACCAAAACGAAATGGTTTTAATTAAAGACAAGATATTTTAAACATAATTATTCCCTAATTTAAAATATTGCAATAACAATTGGATTATAAATGAGATTTTAATAAGCACAATGCATACATAAATTCATGAAAAATATAATTCTATCTTAAAATCCTGGCACTTCAAAGAGAAGACTTAATATCTTTGTATAGATTTTGTAAACTAATTTATAGCAGTTGTTTACAGATTTTATCTTAGTCTAGTTAGTATCTCTGTTCTGTGGTTATAAACTGCACCCTTTGGTTAATAATAATAACAAGACGGATAAGACTTTTAAAACCAACCTTTACAAGACGGATAAGACTTTTAAAACCAACCTCTACTAATAAAAATCTGTAGCCATCATGTAACTTTATATAGGAGACTTGTACTCACATCTAGGCAGTAGTCTGGATAATAACCAACATAAATAACTGGGGGTAGGTAGTACAGGGCTCTTCCAGTATAAGGAAACCAAGTGAATTCTACTGTATTGCCCTGGTATGTTTGACCTCCATTGCCAAGGTTACTCTCATAGTTTAGGATGGTTACTACAGTTCCAACATTTCATCTTCATTCCAAGCAAGAAAGAAGAAAGATAAGATTGTACCCCTTCCCTTGAGAAGTTTATGACTACCCACAAATTGCACATACCACTCCTACTTGCATCTCATTGTACAGTGCTTAGTCTAATCTAACTATAAACTAGCAGTCTTTATTCTGGATAGTCATAAACCCAGATAACAACTGGGAGCCATACTATTGCAAAAGAAGGGAAGGATGGACATTGGAGAACAACCAGCAGTCTGCCACAAATGTCATTTTATTTGCCTACCATCCAGCTTCTCTGAAAAATTTCTAGACCATTGGAAAGGTCTGTGAGAACTCTTTCAGTTTCTCCCCTTGTAAACAGGATTCACACCCCTTTTCCACTGGGTACTCAGGTTCTTTCAGCATCTCCAATTAATTTGTGATGATTTAAATTAAGAGACTGGTTTACCCAGGTTCCAGAAAGGATCTCTAGAAGATGCTGACACTAATCACTTGCCGGAGTCCAGCTCCAGGAGAGAGTCAGGGCCTGAATGGGGAGAATCAGGAACGGCAAAGAAGAATGACAGGAGTCAACTTCTTGGGTAGAGTTCAGGACTCTGCCAATTTTTATTCAAGTCTTACATGCTTATATGGTTTTGTTACTGACCCCTGTACCCACAAAAATGCAACACACGTTACACATTAAATGTTTACATTATGTTTTTTCCTTTTGTTTATGGGGAAGTTAACCTTTACAAGTTTCTTTTTGTTCCTTCCTGCTACCGGTGGTGTTATTTATGTAACAAAACACCAGCTGCCAAGAATTTATCAACCACAACCTGTGACCTCTAGGCCAACTGAATCTCTTCCCTTCGCTATTCTATTTCTTTTCCTTTACTAATCTATTTTCTTAATACACTTTTAGCAGCAATATATTAATTTGTTTTCTCTTTTATATAACCACCCTTATCTTACCCACTATGAATTCTTAATACTCTATATTAATTAATTTTACTATTAATTTAAAAATTTAACTTTCTTAATTTTAATTGCTTTATCTACATTACTTGCTATTTTCTTATCACCTATTTTACATTTTATATTTCTAAATGAAACTTACATCTAAATCTACACTTATATATGAAATTAATCTTACTTCTAATCCTAAATGTATTTAATTTTAAACCTACATTAAGTGTGTTTACCTTAAAACTTAATTATTTCCTATTCCTTCTATTACTTATATTTAACTAATACCTACATCTATAGTAAACATTTATCTTTTAATTATAACTGTTATTTATTTAATTTTAATCCTTACTTTTAAGTTTAACCCCTTTTCTAATTGTTTCTTAAATCAAAAGGCATGTCTGTGACTTGTTTTTCCCGAAAACACCTGTTTTTGGAGATACTCTGTCTCAGTTTCTCACTTCCTCATCAATCACAACTGTCAATGTGGTTACTTATAAAGGGTATGAGGAAGTACTTGTTTTTCCTTTTTAGCTAAAGGTTGTAAAATTTCATGGGAAAGGGGGTAGTAAAACATTCCCTTGTCCCTTCAGGAGGGAAATTTTTGCTGTTGGGCCCTTTTTTACATTTCTATACATAAGTTTACTGCTAATTCCACATCCTTGCACATTCTAGCTAATTGTTTTATTTATCAAGGGAAGTGTTTTTCAAGCCTAAGCACCCATTCCTTTAAGACCAAAAGGAGTCCTTCAATAGGATCCATGGGGCTCTGCCTCATCATGGCCGCTTCCCACTGGGGCTCTGCTCCAAGTCAGCATTTTTCCCATTTTCAGGTAACCTCCATTTTGCCTATTTAGGGATTGTGGCTTCTGGCAATCACTTATACTCTCTATTTAGACTATAGATCCTGAAATATTTTTGTCAATGCAATAACTTTGTAATATGTCAACTTAACTAGACTAAACCATAAGGCAGACTTTCCCATAAAAAGGAGATAAAGTCTCTCTTGTGCCTGTATCACAGAGGTTGTATAATTTTATTGTCTCTTTATGTAAAGAAAAAAGCTTAATTGTTCTATGGACTTCTGATGATCATATATTTAAATAAGACAGATTCCTACTGAGATACAGTTGTGGCTAATTTCTAATGATCTATGGATTCTTAAAAATAAGATAAAACTTTCCAGGAGTCTGATTTTTAGGCATGTAATTGCTTCATGAAAATAAAAGCAGTAACTGTTTTTAGGAAATGGTAAAGAGAAGAATTTTCTCAGAGAGTCATTTCTCAAATTAACACCATACTGTTTCCTAACACTCGTAGTTTTCCATTAGAAGGATCCAGCACTTAGTTCTGAGGTTCCACTTGCTAACAGCTTTTCTTAATTCTGGAAACACATTGTATTAGTAACTGACAGCAAATTATTTACATCCTGATTTGATGAAACCAACATAAATAGTAGCATTTCAGAATAGGAATATTTACTTAAAATCTTAACACTGAGTTACTATTTAATAAATTACATTCAAAAATGTTACCAAGTCATCAAACATTTAGTAAAGGAAATACTAGATTTTATTAAATAAGTTTACATTTATTGTTAAATGCTTAGATTTTCATCTTTCATTCTCTACAATGTACTGAAATATTTGAGAGAGTATAAGATCAATGATATGGTAGGTAGGTAAACCAGATTAGCTTCCTTAAACATTTTTAGGCATGAATTTCTGAGAGTAATATTTATTACATAACATTTAACTGTTTCAAATTAGACATTATGCTTCCATAATTAACATCTCTTTTTATCATGATGTAGCAAGTATAAGTCTTATTCCTAGGAGTTTCCAAGTTGGATAATAAAGACAAATGCATAAAAACATGAAATAACATTTCCTGAATTTACAAAATACAAAACCACCAGAGATTCTTGAATAGAGAACTGATTTTATAAAAATGGTGATTTAGGCAACTGATTTATAGCTTTATAACATGTAGAAACAATGAGAATAGAAAATAAGAGACAAGGTATCCAGGTATTGACAGCACCTCAGATGTCAGGTAACAAGGACCCAGACAGTAGTTCTGGCAGTAGAAACAGACAGGAATGTTGGATTTGGAAAAAATAACAAAATGTGATGCCTTATGGGAAGTAGT